TGTATACCACCTAGGTTATGCAGCCTGGAGGACACAGTTCAAATTTCTTCTACTGTTGGTAGTCTTGACCCAGGGGCACTGTTCCTGGCTTGGGCATTTAAGCTCCCTTCCAGGGGCGCTCTTGCTCTGGCCTGGCCAGCAGAGTGTGCTCCACCGGCTGGTGGAGCTCTCGAACAGTTCCCAGTTTTAGTGGGTCCTGTGGTCCGGGTGTTGGGGTAGGGAGTCTAGGTCAGGGTCTGGGGATTCCCTCCAGCTCTGGTCTCCCTTGATGGATTCACTGTCCCCTGTGGGGTACTCACCCTGTAGGTCGTCAGTTGTTGTTGCAATCCGAGTTCAGTTGGGGTGGTTGCGGGCTGGGTTGGGCGGCCCCCCGCCGGGTAGTTGTGATCGCGATTGGGCGGGTGGTCTGCCAACAGGTCCCTTTGTTGCGCTGCTGGTGCCGGGCGGCTTTGGCGGGATGGAGCCTCTCCGCTCCAGTGGAGAGTGAGGGGTGGGGGTGGGATCCTCGTGGAGACTCCCAGCTGGTAGGTTTCTCTGTTCCTGGCGATCCGCTGTTCTGCAATCCGGTACCTGGTGATCTGCAAGAAGCCCCCTGTGTCTCTGTGGCTCCGGCAGCCCCCGCCGGGCCGGCTGGCCGGCGGCTTGGCGCACTGCCGCGCGGCCAGTAAAGGTTGGGGGAGGGGTCTTCGCTCTTCTCTGTTCTGAAATTCTTCTTTTCCTCTCTTTCTTTTTTGTTATTTTCCACCTCTGGTTTTTCTCTGAGTGTTCGTCTTTTTGTTGTTGTCGGTCTCTTGGGGAGACTAAACGTTGGAACTCGAACTCTCTTTTTGGTTGGAGAGAGCTGTGGCGTTTCCCTACTGCCCCGTCGCCATCTTGGTCCCCCCTCCAGGCAGCTGCTTTTATCCCCTTTTCTTCACAGCCTCAGAGTCCTTGTGTATTGTTTTCTTCTTATTGTTGGGAATGCATCACAAAACTTGAGGTCATCTCTACAATATGAGCAGCTACCCATTGTCTGTAAGCCTTTGGTAGTTTGCTTATCCAAGAAACAACTTGGATAGTGAAGGACCTTGGGGAATTGCCCCTCCCCAGACCTTTTATTTCTTTATTATGATAGATTTGCTATACACAGGGGCTGCAGTTACATGAGTCAGGTAATGAGTAAAATTCTTTTGAACCATGTTTCCCCCTTCCCTCACTCTCTCCTAGGTTTTCCCTCCAACCCACAAGATGTACAGTTCAGTTTCCACATAGTGTCTCATAGGTACCACTGTGGTATTTGTTTACTCTATGTTCCACCTTTTTTCCTATCCCCCTCTTGTTATCCCCAAAACAAACCAACAACACTAAAGGAAAATAACACAAAACCAGCAAGAGCAGCAGCAAAAAGCTATTTCTTGTTTCCTTTGGTTTGAGTTCATTTCATAACAGATTATTTTATGTGATGATATGCACATGGCTATTGAGCCTATGTCAACCAATCCTTTGCATATCTTCCTTTGGCTTGAGTGAATGTCTACATTCCCATATATTTTATCATGGCCCGTTGTGTGTGTGTGTTTGCCTGCATATATGCATTTGTGTATATATATATATATATATATATCAATCATCCATTCTGTTTACTTGCATATTTATATGCGCATGCTAATTGCCACAAATGAGGAAAATATGCAACCTATGATTCTATGGCTCTGGCTTACTTCATTTAATTTTTCCAACTCTTTCTAGTTTATTATGAACGGTAAAATATCATTCTTTTGATGGATGATTAGAATTCCATTCTCTCTGTGTATGTTTCTGTGTGTGTGTATACATACATACATACATACATACATACATATATATATATACATATATATATATATATATATATATATATATATATATCTCACATTTTGTGAACTGTTTGTCCACTGAATGACCCATGATTCCACATCTTGGCTATGGTAAACAATGCTGCGGAGAAAATAGTGGTGCTGATAACTTTGGTGTAGCATTGTATTCTATTGGTTAAATGCCAAGAAATGGGATTGCTGGGTGTTAGGGTATCTGTATGTTTAGCCATTTAAGAACATACTTACTGCTTGCCGACGTATTATTCCATATATTTCACATTCTAGTTTTATTTGAAACTTCTCCTTAATTTCATCTACTTGGTGGATGTGCTGTGACTGTTTCAGCATCTCCTAGCTGGCTTTGATGGCAACACTGTGGTCCCAGTGATGTGTGTCGGATTGTATGATTTCTGTTTTTGAATTTCTCCGCCAGCATAAGCTGAAGGAGGTATACCTGGGTTAGATCAGTTTGGTACCAGCAAGCTCCAAGGAATAAAGCCAAGAAAACCCTTAGATTCTGCTGCTTCTTGGTAATTCCAATGACTTAGGTGGGAGAATGACTAAAATGTTTTGGTGTGTGATGGTATTATGAGAGCCGGGCGAGTGCTCAGCCACTCGGGCACTAGCCCTAGTATTTTCTGTCAGTATGTCCTTTTTTGTTGCTGTTGCTATTGTTTGTGTCCATAGTCCATTTAGTGATTTTCCTGGGTTTTATACCTTCTCTCCTCCCTCTGCTTCTCAAGTTGCCAGGAATACTGACTTGCACCACCACATCAGCAAGAACAAAATCTCTTGACTGGCCAAGGAATGCACTAGTGTGACCCCTACTGAGAAATCAGCCTCTCCACTGAGCAAGTTGGTGAGTCATGAAGAGAGAATAGACAAAATGAAGGCTAATAAAGGGAGGAGTTGTCATGACTTTTCTCGGCATAGGTGGAGATCTTTCTGGAACTTAGGTGGCTCCCCTCACTTTTTCACTAGGTCATTGATCTGCTATTATTGGCCACAAAATCTGGTAGTATCTTTATACAGGAAGATAGAGAAGAAAATATATCGTCCTGTTCCAGTCATCCTCTCATTCATCTTTGGGTCTAAGTCAGGAGTCACTTTTTTCTGCAAATGGAGCCATAATGATCTAGTCAAATGACCAAGAAATGTGACCTCGAAACTGTTGCCATGTTAGCCCACACTCCAGAGTTTTGATCCCCAGCTAAGCTAGTGAGACACTGGGAAGGCACTGGCCAACAGGATGGCCAGCAACGTTAGAGACTTTAAAACCAAAATGAATAGAACCAGGGGATTTATTTAGTCATTATGCCTTCCTTTCTTTCATTTTTTTTTCTGGGTGTTGGGCTTGAACTCTGGGCCTGGGTGCTGTCCATGAGCTCTTCAGCTCAAGGCTAGTGCTCTACCATTTGAGGCACCACACCACTTCTGTTTTTCCGGTGGTTTATTGGAGATAAGAGTCCTGCCCAGACTTGTTAAAAATCTTGAACCTTAGATCTCAGCCTCCTGTGTAGCTAGGTTTACAGATGTGACTACCAGCGCCTGGCTAGTAGTCATTATTCTTGATTTAAAAGAGGGAACTATTATTCAAGACTCATTACTTACATTCACTACAAACTTCATAAGCTAGGCCCCTTATGCAAGTGCCCTCTGTGGTTTGATTCTACTGACAGAAACATCTTTCAGGACCTCATACACTTGTACAAACACGTTATTTACAAAGGGAGAAAAACATGGTCTTGCAGTAATTTAATACAGAGCTCAGTGAAAAGAAAAACAATGGAATGAAGGCAGAATTTTTTTTTTTTGGTGAACTGAGATGAGGATGGAAAATGACTTTTGGTAAGAGCAATCTCAGTATCATGTGTTTTATGAAAGAAACACAAATGTCACAAGATGCATAGTAAGCATATATGATGCTCTCACAACTGAGTGTACAAGAAAGCTTCTTAAGACCCTGTAGAAAACATGCTAGGTTGTTATGGCTCTTGACCTTGTCTACAGAGAGAAACAATCTGTGCGGTGAACATGCCAAATGAAGATATTCTCTCACTTTGACACAGAATCCCCACATGGAACCTATAGAAGTGTGATGCTGATTTTCAGCAACCGCTGTTGTCAGTCCTGAGAATGAGCCCTGACACATTTTTCGCTTTGCTCTGAGACTTGTGGAACATGTGCCAAGCGATGGCCAATGGTTGTCAAGACTCTGGCAGGTGAGGACAATCTGCAGCTACATGTCCAGACTGAGAAACCATGGCCAAGTTTCCCCAAACCAGGGACACTCCGCAATCCTGCTCAGAGTGCATAGACCAGGACAACCTCTAGCCATTCTGAGTGACAATGAAAGGACAGCCACCAAAAGGCATCCCCAAGAGCAGGTCCCCTGCGTCACTGCCAGAGAGCATGGCATCTGCATGAATGGGGGAGAGTCCTTGCTGGGGCTGTCAGCTGAAGATCTACCTGGCCCCAGGGGCCTACACTTGGCTTCCCCCAGAACCACACTCTGTGGAAGACCCTGGCTGCATGAGAACTTGATCAGTCAAGCCATGGGCCTGTTATGGACCGTGGAAAGAAACTCAGTAAAATAAAGTCCATCCCCAAGACTCAATCACAGAGAACCTACAAAGGGCAAGGAAGTGGAAGTCACACTTGTCCCTTACTAGATGTTGGTGGGTCACCTAGTGATGTGCACGAAAGGACCTCTTAAGATGGGTGAGGCCTTATGAGATGAATATGATCAAGGATCTCAGTGAGATTCCAGTCTGCCTGCTCCCAGAGCAATGGACTGATCCACATGGAAGAACTGCAGGAGCAATGTGTGCACTGCAGATCCTGACAACTCTACCTCTTTCCCTGCTCACACTCTTCATTCTGTGGACAGCCCAGACCCAGGCTCAGCTGTTTGAGGACACATTCCAAACAAACTATCTTTATTTACTCTGCACAATTACATAGCCCCCCCAGGTAAATCTCCCTCCCCATCCTCCCCCCCCTTTTATTCATTCTCCCTCCCCTCTTTTCCCCTCAGTCGCATTACCCTCCCCCATCCCCTGCTACCCTGAGGACTCCTGGATCAGCACTGAGTGAGGAAGACCTTTTGCTTGGTCGATTGCACAATGCAAGCCAGGTGAGATCTCACTCAGGTCACGACTGGCTTCAAGGATTTTTTTTCTTCCTCTTCTTCGTCTGGGCGTCCAACACCTCACGCTTTCTCTTCTGAGGCTGTGAGGGCTGAACCAGCGCCAAAGCCAAGTCCTGCTTTGCAGACTCCTCAAAGTGAGACCCTGGGCATGGATTCTTTACTGGGGTGCATGAGTCTCCAATGCGAGCCCTTTTCTTGGACTTGGCAGGTGGAGGGGGATCCAGGCTGCGGCCTCTTCTCTTGCACAGTGAAGGCCCGGGGGCTTGGTGTCCAGAGGACAGGAGGGTGGTGGGGGACCTGGGGCTCTGAGATAGTCCCCAGGGTAGGAGACAGTACTCAGAGCCCAGCAAGGAAGCCAGGCTGGGGACACATTCCTTGCCCACCTTCCTGTCCCCTGCTCGCTTGCGTGGAGTGCCAGCAGGAGACTCTTCCATGTGATTCACGGCATCTCCAGACCCCGCTCTCTGGGGATGGGATCCATGTCCTCGAGGACAAGCAGTGGACAGGGTGGTTCCTACTGAAGGACCCGTGACCCCCCTGGAGAGCAGCAGCAGGAGAAGCAGAAGCAGGTGTCAGGTGCTCTGCATCTGTGCCACCATGGCTCTGATCATCACTGCAAACGATATGCAGAGTGCTGGTATCTTCCCTGACTGCTTGTTGGAGGCTCTGCTATTTCTCTCTGCACCTTGGCAGATGGCCAACTCAGAAACACTTGAGGCTACTCTGGCTGCCCCAAGACGTTTCTCCGCTATCTGTTGGAGGAAATACAGAGTTACTGGCTTTGCATCTGGCTGGGAAAGGACACAGTAGAGGGAACAACTTCAGGGTCACCTCTCTTGGTTGCAGACACACACACTTGTGCTCGTCAGCTCCCCATGGGTCTCTTTGCAGCTGTGCAAGCTCAGCCCCTCCCTGGCTCTCCTGTGTCCTTCCTTCTAGTCCACATCCACATCTAACTTCAGGAATAACCTCCAAAGCCACGACTGCACAGAAGCAGGAGGCATGCTCCTCCCCTTTTGGTTGTGCGGCCTTTCTTCCCCTCCTGATCTACCTGCCTACAGTCTTTCCTGTGCCAACCTGCTTGGGGGTGAGTCCTTCTTCCTGTTCCAGCTCCTCAATTAGGGCCTCAAGATCCAGCTCTGGTTTGGAGGAAAGCAATTCTTCCAGGAATTTGGGATGAATGATGGCCTCCACCTGGAGCAGGAGGAAGAGGGTGTCAGTGTGTGTAGAAAAGAGAAATCTGTGCCAAGGGGACTTTGAGAACACAGGGAGGAATGACACACACACACACACACACACACACACACACTCACACACACACACAGAGTGCTGAGCAGTCAGGGAATCAAGGTTCATTTCAAGGGAGAGGGCAAGTGGCAGAGAACAGGGCTGGAGTTGGAGCCCACATTTGAGATGAAATCCTCCTGGCAGCACAGCTGGTCAAGGAGGCTCAGGAGCTCTGGATCTGAGCACATGTCTTCCACATCCTGTTGTTCCATTCCCGCCTCTTTGGATGTTCCCCCAGAGTCCTGGGTGCACAATTGAGGAAGGCCCTCCAGCCAGTCCATGATGGCCATGTACTCCTCCACGGCTTCAGCTGGGATCTCCTCGGGTGCCTTGGTCTCTGGCGGCCTCTGACCTGTGGGTGCTGATGGCTTGGCAGGCTTAGCCTTGAGGCCAGTCTTGCTGGAGTTGCCCTCTAAGGGAGAGGAAACAAGACAAAGCAAGGATGGGAGAAGAGCTTCCACACGATGGCTGAGCAGCAGAGTTTAGTAGCGCTACACCAGCCCAAGACCAGCATAGACAATGGAGCCAGAAGAGACTGCAACATGTGGAATATATAAGACAGCCATGCAGTCCCAAATTCTGAGACACTGACATTCTGGTGCTCTGCCCATCCCATTGCTGTTCCTGAGTAGGTGTTGTCCAAGGTGCTTGTGCTGAGAGGAGCTATAGACATGGCCCTATAATAACCAGTTCCATGCTAACTATTCCTCCAGAAACCTCAGGTTCTGGAGGGATGCTTTGTTTCCATTGCAAGAGGAGCTCCTCCATTGAAAACAGAAGCCCTGCGTGTGGGTAAACCCTTCGAGACCCCATCAGCCACTTCATGCCATGGACTCCAATAGAACATTGAGAGACTCTACCTGGCTGCTGGAGAATGTCCGGGGATGAGAGCCTTGGAGAATCTGGCTTCAGTGGGATGGCAGGAGGCGGGCCTTGGAAATGCATAATGCCCTGCAACTTTGAATTCTCTATCACCTCCATAGCCTCAAATTCCATGAACCTGGGAATGTAGGAGGCACAGGGTGAGCTGAGAGGGGGATGAGCCCCATGGGCGCTTCCCAGAAGAAGACATAGAAGGTGTGCAAGCAGTACTCTGAGGTTCTTGCCTAGGTGCAGAAGGTTGCTGATAAAGGATGAAAACAAGCTGTCAGTGCAGGAAGAAGTGACACTGTCCAAAAGAAGCGCACTCTTCACATGGTGCACATGACTGAATCACTCTGAATAACACATTTATAATAGCAATAAATAATATTTTTAAAAAACGCAAAGGTCAGGGAGACTTTAGATCGCCCAAGACTTGTGTGGAAAGATGTGACCCAGGAAGGGCCTTCAGTGACCCATCTTCTAAGCCTATTCCATCCCTGCCCCTAACTGAGGAGGTGAGTGGCAGAAGCTGATCAGGATGGTGATTGATGGAGAGAACAAAGATGAAATTAAAACCTTGGGTTCCTAGAGCAGGCATGGGCCCTAGACTCTCATGAGCCACTGATACCTGGAGCAACTTTGCCTTTGCACAACTGCCCATGTTGGAAGGGACCAGTTGTTGGCTGATTTCCGCACCGGGTCTGACCCTCCGCCCCCTGGTGTGGACCAGGCATCAGTGAGGCAGGAGTTTGAGAGGGCCCCCAACTCAGAGCTCAACCTGCACCTCAGAGAGACTGTGCCACTGCCTGGACAGAAGGCAATCAGGAGAAGGGCATCTTCTGTGCATGTCCATGCCTTTCCTGGCAGTGTGAGTGATGAGCCCCACTGGGCTCAGGCGTGCAGTCTCTGTCCTCCTCCACCACACAAACCCCAGCTCCAGGGCCCCTCACTCACTTGGCCGCCATCTCGTGAAAATTCATGCGCTCGTAATTACTAATGCCTTCCCACTCCTGAAGGCCTCTCCACAGGCCCTCGTCCAGGGACATGGTGGGCTTGAGCCGGGCCAGGGACCGAAGCACTGGGCTGCAATTCATCAGGATCAGTCACAGCCCACAGCCCACAGGTGACCCTCCATTCCCAGTGGACCTAAACCCTGTGCTCCTCACCCCTGGTGCCTACATGTCCAGCTCCCATGTGGGCTCTTATCTCCAGGTCACCCTTACGGACCACAGAAATCAGTAGCAAGGGCACTGCTGGCCTTCCCCATGTTCCTGTGAGTGCTTTCCATTAGTGAACATTCTAGCCTGAAATACTCTGTTCTTCAGAATTGACATACTAAAGCCTTAATCCCCCGGTGATGCTATAGGGAGACAGGGCCCTGGGCCAGCCTAGCTTAGGTACACTCATGGAGATGGCATTCTTTGCCAGGACAGGACAGTGGCCTTGGAGAGACAGACAGGAAGAGCAGCCAAAGCTACCTCTCAGCCCTGCATGACACACACAAGGCAGCCATGAGGAGAGCCATCTCCAGACATGGAATCTTCCATCCCAGAATCTGAGAATTCCATTCTCCAGACTGTGAGCAAGGAATGGTTTCAGTTTCCAGTTCCACAAGTATGGGTGAGGCCTGAGCTGAGCGGCACATGCCCAGTATGGTCTTGAGCCGAAAGCCAAATTGTGGCTCCCTTCATAGCAGGTGCTCTTTGGGAATGTGGGCCTTTCTACAGTGCTAATCCTTCTGGAAAAGTAAAATGGCCACACTCACAGGGGTACCATGGTGCAAAGGGAAGGAGCTTTTCTTGCACCTGTGTGACACTCCTATGTCTGTGTGTGGTTTTTCTCTACAGGTGCGATCAACTTCAGGACTTCCCTGCCCTTGTGGTGTGGATTCCCATGTAGGAGCCCCAGCAGGAGCTCCCTGTTCCCAGAGGAGACACTCACATGAAGAAGCAGGCAAGTGCTTCCCCATCAGGAGTCTGTGGAAGTTTATTCCGGATCAAGGCCTTCAATTGTTGCCAGCGCCGAAAGTTCTGATAGACACTGGGAGGTGGAAGCTTGGTCTGGGATGTGGGCTGACTGCCCTCTGCACAGGGCCTCTGTGGCCACGGTGCGTGCTGGCTCACTGGGGGCCTGATGGGAGCCTCCTGGGAAACTGGTGGTGTTGATCCCAGGGGTGGGCCCCAGGTCAAGCTGTCTTGGGCAGCCTGTCTACATCCAGTCATGGGGACACTCACTGGAGCACTGCTGGCAGCACCAGGCAAGAGGAGTGGAGCTGGGCCCATGGAACCCACATCCCCAGGAGGGACATTCCAGATGAGAGGGGCCTGAGTGACAATTACTTTTGGAGTGTGGAGGGGCACTGCTGGCCTTCCTCCTGTCCCCATTTCCACAATGACATGGGAGGGGCCTGCCCCACTGGATTTGCAGCTTCCCCCTGACACCAGAGATGTGCTGGGGAAAGCAGGCAGCACCAGAGGGCTCCCCAGAGGAGGGAGTGCAGCAGACACTGTTGGAGGTGGACAGGAAAACTGCTTCCTCAATGACCCTTGTGCTGGTTCTGGGGCGGCTGTGTGGAAGGGCAGCTCTGTGAGAGGAGCTCTGGAAGCAACGGTGTTCAGGCTCAGGTTGGCTGAAGACACTGGTCTCGCTGCTGGAGAGAGAGCAGGGTTCATTGAAGAGGGACAGGGCACAGCAGAGGTTCTCCCTAGGATTTGGAAATTCGGAGGAGTAAGGAGGAAGGACAGCAAGTCAGGGCTTGCAGTGAGAAATAGTGTTTCACAGATGTCCCCAAGTGAATGCCATGGTGTGTCTCTCTTTTAGGATTAATCCTGCCAAGGACTTGCTCCTGTTCTACAAAAGTCTTGCACCTGTGTGTGCTGCGATAAACCCCTCAGCTTCGTCTGCTTCTGTGGGGCTCCTTCAGGCATCCTAGGCAGACAGCCCATGTCCCTGAAGGCCGTTCCCTGGAAAAGCGTTAATTTGCCCCTGTTTCGCAGCATGGTCCACTCAGCATGCTTGCTGTTGTGCAGGAGACCCTGTCCATCGGCAGTGCTACCCCCTAGTCTTCTCTATGGAGGTATCATATTCAAAAGCTGCCCCTTTACCTCGTCAGCCTTCCTTTTCCTGATGCTCTACATAAACCTCTCCTTTTGTCTCTCACCCACCACCAGAAACAAAAGCTCTGAATGAAATCTCTCTCACCTAGCAGCTTAGGAAGTCTAGAGTTATCCTCATAACACAACCCACAACCCACTTCACATTAGCACCTTCCTGGATTAACAGTAAGGGAAGAGGCTTCTCACCAGGCCTTTCCTATGTAATTGCTTGTCCCTTCCTTCACAGAACCATTGGTGTGGCTGATATCTTGTCCTTGCACAGCCAGGCATGGCTGCAGAGGACCAGAATGCTCAGGGAATGGGGAGTAGTGAGTCAATAACGGGAGAGTCTAGAGATTTTCATAGTCACTTTGTCACATCAGAAATGTGTCACTTCTATTTTGCCCTCAGTTCTATCATGGATTGGGTAACAGGGATCCAGGCATGAAGCAAATACACAGGGTCAACAGTGGTCTACAATGCAGCATGTTCTGAATGCCCTCATGTAGCCTCTGTGAAAGAAATTAGGTGCTCAGGTCCTACACCTAACCACCAGGTCACCTGTTGTAAGTTGAATGACATGAGTAACAGGAGAATGTCCTCCCCACTCAGTGGTGCTCCCTCTGACCTCTTCAGAAAGACAACCCTAGAATCTACAAAAGGAAAGTCGGCAGCAGTCCATATTGGTTCCCTATTCATGAAATACCAGATGGAGGAGATGGGCCCAGCCTTCATGTCCACAGACAATTAAAGGGCAGAGATTGTTGACAAAACAGAAAATCGGAAGGCTTCTTTGTACCAAAGGGATGACAGTCCCCAAGTGTGTGCAACCCAAGTTGTGTGTCAGTTGAAGTGTCCAGGCTGCCCTGTCCCTTTGCAATGAATGGCATGAGTTACCTGGACTAACATAGAAGTCCCCTATGGATAGGAAGAGACCAGCAGGTCTGGCCTGTGGCCAGTGGAATGATCTGCAGCCTCGTCTAAGAGACCATATTCCTAGGGTCCTTATGATGACTCCCTTGGGAGCCATCTCCAAATTGTCATACTTTCCTGAGTCATCTAGGTGATCTTGGGAAAGTTCAGTGCTATGCTGGTAAGCTACAGCTCAATAACTCAAGGTGGGAGCGTGGTGGCAAACTGAAACTCCAGAAACCTTTCAGGGATAGCTGGGGCTTAGAGGTTCTGGCCCTGCCCTTCAGGCTTACCTCCATCTGAAGGCATCCCCACAGGGTTGGACATCACCCACAGCTCTCTGGCAGCCTTCGAAGGCAGGAAAGTCAAGTGGAGAACCCAGAGAGCAACGTGGCTCCAGTTGCTTCTCAGGGTCCAACTACAACTGGGGAAAGTTTAAATGTAAATAGCAGTAGAATGTGGGGGTCAAGGCATTCTACAGTGGGGGAGGGGCAGAGACCCAGGAGGGCTGGGTGGGGAGTTGACAGACATTCCATTAAGGGCTGTGGCAGGAGGACCAGAACCTCAGTTCCCTTCAAATAATAATACAGAGGCAAGATGACTGGTGGGTGTCCAGGCAACTTTAATATGCGCTCTCACATGCAGAGGCCAATGGTTTTGCTGATGTTTTCTTCCTTCATGTCTTCATCCATAAGCCTGGTTTTCTTTCCCTCATCCCACCCGATTTCCTTCTGCATAAGTAGATTCTTGAACCATTTCAATGGTTTCATTAGCTCGGTCTTTAAGCTCAGGTTTGCCAATGCATGTGTCTATTTGCATGTGTAAATCATGTGTTTATATAATGTGTATGTATACATAATGTGTGTACATAGTCCATACCCACACATAATTCTGGCTAAAGATGATTTCAAATATGAAATATCCATGGTAGCCTCTAGACTTCATAGCCATTGAGAAGGCTTTGAGAAATAGGGAGGCAGAAAACCTACTCTCGCCTTATGGTAAAGGTGCTTCATATTTCTCTTTTCATTTTTATTCAAACATTAGAAATTCTCTATGGCTTCTTTTGTCTGTGTAGTTTGAGAAGATCCAGGCTTCCACCCACCGATCCTTAGTATTCATTCCTCTGTGTCCTCCACATGGTAGTGGGAGCTGTCTCCTGGGATCCTGGCCACACTGCTCACTGGATTCCCAATGGCTTGTCTCCGTTACATCCACTTGTTCTTTTGAATCTGGTTTCTTTGTTGCATGGGTGATATTAATGACTTGATGTCTTGTCTTGGGCATCAAGTTGTATTCTTTGTTGTTAGTTTTCACACTAAGATGATGGTAGAGCCACACAGATCCAGTAAGACACATAGGAGAAGTTTTTGTGTTTTGATCTTTAGCTGAGCTAGTGCTTCTCTCATCATCTTCTGTCCTGAAGTGCTGCTGGGACATCTAACCACACCTTTCACAGCCATATGACTTCAGGGTACATATTTGATGGTCTCTGCAGCAGGGAATCATACATCTCTATTTCTAAATATGTTTTGTACTTGTCCTCCTATCATGTCTAGACAATGCCCATGTGTTCATACCATTGACACCTTTAAGGTTCAAATGTTTTTGTGGCCAGTTGCTGGTGACTTAGGCCTGTAGTCCAAACTAGTCAGGTGGCTGGTATGTCAGGATCAAAGTTCAAAGCAATCCAAGGCAGAATATCGGTAAGACTCTTATCTCAAATAAACTACTCCAAAAAGTGAGCCTTGGACAGTGTCTCATGTGGTAAAGGAAAAAGACACTCACAGACACTACCCAGGCCCTAAGTTCCAGTCCTATTTCTGGCAAATACAAAGGGGAAAACGACGATTTTTGTCCAAGTTTGGTTTAATGTGAGGGTCTGATAATATTTCATGTAGGTTCACCCAGGTTACAGATTTTTGTTTCCATAGAAGAGTAACTATGAATTGGAAGTGTGAGTTTGTGATAAAGTAGGGTTTTAAGACTTGTCTAGGAATCAGTTAAGCACCAATTGTGAGTATATCTGTAGAGTCATTGTTTTAACCAACTCTTAAAAATTTGGGTTCTCATTTTCATATTGTGACAATTGCAGTTCTTCAATGTCCAAATCACAGGAATTTTAATACTCATAGTTTATGCCAAGACCAAAAGACATTGCTAGAAAATGCACTACGAGATATAGGATGAGTATGAGGAAGAATCCCAAAGAAAATGTCTGCTACATGATGGACTTCACTCCTTGCTGGCATCCTACAGATGGGAAGGGAAGAAAAGTCCAGAAGGACTGTTCCACTTTGTGACCTTTCTTGGAAACAGAACACTGTTGGCTGAGATATTTTGACCAAAATGGGTGTTGTATGAAGAGTGACAAGGGCCAGGCAGGAATGAAAGACAGAGCATCTCAAGTCCAACGCGGCCAGGTGTGTGTGTGTGGGGGGGGGTGAGTCTCCCTGGTTTGGGACACTTGTGTGACTCAATGTCTCAATGCTTCTCCAATATCCTTTTCCTATCACCTATATTTTTTTGGGGGTGGGGGTCTGGTCATGGGGCCTGAAATCTGGGTCTGGGTGCTGTCCCTCAGCTCTTCAGCTCAAGGCTAGCACTCTACCACTTGAGCCACAATGCCACTTCCAGTTTTTTTTATTTTTTGTTTATGTGGTGCTGGGGAATCAAACCCAGGGCCTCATGCATGCAAGGCAAGCACTCTACTACTGAGTGCATGGTAGTCACTTTTCCATCCTCCACCTATATTTCTGCATGAAACTGTGCATATTTCCATCAAACGCCTGCATGGTGTTTGGTCACAGTGGCAGGGGTGAGGACACACAGCGGCTACCCTCTGCCCCCTCTGCATACCTACGTGTAGGCTTCAGTTTTCTGTCCCATGGAATAATTGCTTTCTTGTATGTATCTACCTTTCTGCTCTGCTTGTCCGCTTCCCTGTACAAGTCTCTCTAGACCGTACTTGGCGTAGAGATGTGCAGATATAATGAAATTATTTCAGCTATAACTAGTGAGATCACTGCATGGAGAGGCAAGGCCTTGAGCCATGTTGAGTGCCAGGAAGGAAACGCCAGTGACAATGCACTGGTGGAGAAGCATCACCGAGTTTCAGAAGACAGAGCCCCTCTGCCCTCTCAGAGGGGACTAGCGATAGTAAGAGGCTCTATTTCGTCCTTGGAGCTTTGCAGTGGGCATACCTTCCTGGGGAT